CGATTCTGTTGCCGGAGAAACCGCAGTCGACGGCGATGTTAACGTCCGGGACATAAGCACGTTGCGAAGCGCAGAGGAGAAGGTGAAAAAGAAGAAGGCTGGAGAAGAGTGGGAAGAAAAGAGGAAGGATTTTCATGGGAAACAATTAACAAGAAGATCAAATGAGAGTTGTGCAATTTCAATGAGATCAAAGTTGTGTTCATCCATCACGAGATTGGTTTCTATCAAAATAATAATAATAATAACAATTCTCTTTTTCGAAAATGGATATAAAAAGTACCTTTGCCCCACCTTTTAGAAACCTAACAAATTTCCGTACTTTAACGACTCAGTAATGAGTAGGTATACTGGACCAATTATAATTGACATATATATCCAACCAATAGATTGTAAGATTCTTTATCTCACATATTGTATTAAAAAAGAACAATTTAATTATACATATTGAAAGCGATGTATGGAAAATTATCACGTACACGATAATAGTAACATATCTTTGGCAAAAAAACATGCCCGTTTAATATATATAATAATATTAATATATATTATTTTTTATAAATACTTTTTTATTTTTTATTTGTGTTTAATTAAATTTAACGTTATTCCATATTAATTTTTATAAATACTTTTTTATTTTTTATTTGTGTTTAATTAAATTTAACGTTATTCCATAAAAAAAAAGTTTATATTTACCATAGGAGAAAAGGAAAGGCAAGCAGGGAGAGAGGGCGGACAGGAAAGAAAATGTTACCTCAATTCTAAAAGAATATAAAACTAATATATTTTGCAACCTGGTTTAAAAAGTCCAAGTCACTAGAGTGACTAATCAATTTAAATCAGTAATCTTTAAGAACTATTTTCAAAAAGTTGAAAACTAAATTGTCAGTTTTTAATTTAAGGACCAAATAGAAATTTATGTTCAAATTCGGACCACGAGTATATTTTACAAAAAAAGAAAAAAAAAATACTCCAAACATTTACCTTTAGCCTAAATTTTATTTTTGGAAACTTACTCTGATTTGAAAAGTAAAATATAAGCTAAGCTATTATTTTTAATCTGTTTTAAAATTTAAAATTATTTTAAGTGATCATTTTTATTTTGGAGCATAAATATTATTCTAATTTTAATAATAAAAAAAGAGTAATGAAATAATTTAAGTAAAGCTATCACCATTGGGTAAATTTGAAAGTTTTAAATTATATAAAAATCAGATAGGTCTAAAAATGTTTTTAAAACTATTTCATCTCACACGTGATAAATGTTGGGAGGTCGATAGGAAAAGGATTCAAATTTCTGCATCAACACATGTCTATATATTAATAAAATAATAATTTAATGATTTTTATCTCTAAATTTTCTACGAACATACGGTTAAAAACTCACAAGTAAATTTTTACTCAAAGAATCTAATTGAGATTTTTATAAATCTGAGAATTAAAATAAATTTGAAGACAGAAATTGAGAATCGAATAGGAAGAATGAGAATAAAATAGGAATAGGGTTAGTTTTGAACTAATAAAATTTTGTTGTTTTTGGCGCAGAGTTGAAGCGAGACGAGGGAGAGAGTTGCAGAAGAATGAGCAGCAAGGCAAAGGCAGGCCCCCCGAAGCACCAAAACAGATACGCCTGGAAACCAAACGCCGGCGTCAAAATCAACGAAACTGTAATCCCCCATTTCATCACCTTTCGATTTCTCCATCTTCTGTTTCTTCTTACTTTCGAAATCTTCTACAGGAGGTTGGAGGCAGGTTCCGCCCGCTTTCCCAGATCACCGGAGTTTGCCTTCGCTGCAAGGACCAAATCGATTGGAAACGCCGCTACGGCAAGTACAAACCCCTTGCCGAACCCGCCAAATGGTATTTCTTTACCCTTTTGTTTTTATCTCTCCCTGAGCTTGGATTGTTGCGGAATTGATTTAATGTATTGCAGTCAACTATGTTCCAAGCGGGCTGTTCGTCAAGCCTATCATAATCTCTGCCCTGGTTAGTTTAACTATATCAATAGCTTGATTGTTTATGTGGGTTTTGTTTTTCATGAACTAAATTGCTAGGGGGAAACATATCAAATTCAGTTCAATCTCTGTACATGTGCGTGCTAAGTTTTCTACTTGGAATTGATGTTCATTCATATAGGCTGTGCCAAAGAGCAAGGTGTGTGCGCGAAGTGTCGTTGTCGTGTAGACCATACTGTTGGAAGGTGAGTTTCATATTCGTTGGAATGTCTTTTGTGTTAACGTAAGTTTAGCCGTATCTAGTGCATTATGTTATTGGCTGAGATGTTTGTGAAATAATATGGCCTTTCCATCTGCCCCTTTTGTAGGGATGCTTCTGAAGTTGAGGCTGAGCAAAAGATGCTTCAAGAGGTATGATTTGGCCCTGCCCTCATTTGATGGTGTTATATTTCCAATTTTAGCTTACTTATTTGGTGATTGCTGCAGGCCATAAGGAATGCTCGAGAAAGGGATAAAAGAACTCTATTACGTGCTGTAAGCTTCCTGTTCTTTTTATTTTGTTTAATTTATCATTTAATGGAACTATGAAGGAATTTATGAATAAAATAGAATTTTAGCACTTTTTTTACTTTGTTTATCTAGGATTTCATAATTGGGAGGGGGGTTATGTTCATGTTTCTCATCTACAGCTTGATTTCTGTTGGGATGGGGTGGAGTCTTTTCCCAATTGTACTTACACCTTGCGTTTTTTGAGTTGATGTGGGAACTCAACATGAATAGAGAGAAGCATTCCATGTATAGTCAATAAGGTTAAACTTAGAAGTTGGGGGAGGGCGAGTAACTTTGGTTGTGAGGTGGTGGCTCTTTTGATGGTGGAATGGTTTCTTCCTGTTTGGTCTTAACCCTAGAGTCTCGTCATTCTGGGATATAGTGGTGGATAAGGTTCCAATATGGCTTAAGAAAGCTTCTTTAAAAACATTAGTCTGGAAAGGATTAAGAGGAACTTTTTGTGAGAAAGGGGCAAGGAGAGGAGGGTGGAGGTGTCACATTTAGTAAATTGAAAAGTTGTTTCTAGACCATGCAAGGGAGGGAGGGGTTTAAGTACTGGAAACTTGGATTGTACAAACTTTGTTCTTCTGTCCAAATGGTTAAGATGGCTTCCCTTATCCCATAGTGTTATAGATTGCCTTTATTAGCTATCTAGATGAATACTCTTAACTCTATTTAACAATTATGAAAATATTCTTTCTAAAAAGTTATTGTATTATAGAACACAATGTAGTCTTGTATGTGGTATTATATGTTTTTAATATATATATTATATGATATTATAGACGGTAGCTAATTTGATTATTCGATTTTTTTCGTAGTTCAAATAATTTTTTTAATATAACAAATAAAAGTTGGAGATTCGAATTCATGATTTATTGGTCAGACAAGTGGTAATTATTATTGAGTTAGTCTTACCATTCAAAAATATTAATTAAATACAAAATTAAAAGTTGGTAAATGAAAAATGAGCGGTGATTTATGGCAAATTTTTTTTTTTTTAAGTTTCGGAGATCCAGACAAATTCTAAACTTGAGGGATTTATTATTGAGTTTTTAGAATTCATATACGTATTGGCTATTAGATATTCCTTTGAAGTTTGACTAAGTTTGGAATGCAGACAGTAGGGATTCAAAGTTATGTTCTTAGGCACCTTTAGGATTCCTGGGAAAGAGATATCTAATTGTCTTTCCATTTCTTGTTGTTTGTTATGTATACTGTTAGGAATAGCAACAAGATTTTTGGAGGGTGCTTGGCTTTTTGGTAGTTTTGTCCTATCGCAGTTCCTTAATTAATTGGTAGTTTTGTCCTCTTTTGATTTTGGGTACTGTCGAGCCCTTTTTAGTATATAGAATGCTGAGTTCAGTGAGGTTAGAGTCTTAGAGATGAATGTATTTGGTCTAGTATAAGCAGAGTCAATATCTTTCTTTTACTTTACAGTATGGCACTTTAAAAGTTCTATAAATAATTTATATTTGAAAAAATAGTTTCGTAGTAAGTGACATTAGCATCTTCTAATTATCACAATTCACGACATTTTTCCTAGTTTTCACAAAGAACATGAATGGCCATATTTATATCCCGATATATGTATGATCACAAATGTTGAGTGCTTGTGTACTTGCAAATACATAGCAAAGCACTCTGCTTAATGAATTGACACTGATTGCACTTTTTTTTCCCTCATGTTTTTCTTTCTTATTCTTTCTTCCTCCCTGATGCATGTGCATAATTTTAATTCCTTAAACTGAAACAGATGAACAAAGGGAAAAGTAAGACTTCGGATAAAAGTAAATCAGCCGTTAAAGAAGAAACTAAGGTTGGGGATTTGACTCCGTCAATAGAAGAGCATGCTAAATTGGGCAGAAAGGAGGATGACAATGATATTACAGATGGCAGCAATGAAGACAGCGACGAAAACGAAGATGAGGATGAAAATGAGGATTAGGATGAAACTAGGGTTGAGGAGGATGAGGAAGAGAGGTAAATCTTCGCCCTTTGGGGCACGTTTTTTGTAAGCTAAACTGTGGTATGACATCCAGTGTACCAGAGAATTTACAGTACCAATTTCTATTCTAAAGGATGTGAAAGAGTAGTAAATTAATCTTTGTATGGGGCATGTTCTTCGCAAGCTGAACTGTGGTATGACGACCAGCGTGTACCAGAGAAATTACAATATCCAATTCTTATTTAGAGGCCAAATGTCCTTAGAGTTCATTTTGTTGTGTTTTAGGCGAGCGTTCATTCTCAATATTGTTATTACTTATAATTTCCATCTTCAATGTTTACTTTTAAATCCGAGGGGGAAGTGGAAACAAGGTAAATTACCAACTTTTGGTATGTTAATTACAAGTACATATGAAGACTAATATTTTTAGTACAGTCATGAACCTCTCATGGATCTTAAGGAAGAAAAAGGAAGAAAATGCTCAAAAGCCTTTGATAACATGTCATGAAATGATCCCATGAAGAAGCCACATCAAAGAATAGTATTTGATAAATGGAACTACAATACTACAAAGAGAGAACACTACACTTACATTCACTAATTTGACCTGAGTTTATTGCGACTGAGGAAATACAAAACAAATGTCCAAAAATTCAGGAGCTATCCGGATCTCCAAAAAAATCAATGTGGTTTTAGGATGAATGAAACTGCGTTTCTGTAGTCAATACAACAGGTGCTTCAACAGCATTCCTATCTGCAATTGAAGAGTATGGATAGAACTCTATGCTGAACCTGGCCTTGTTGTGAGGGGGGAAAAAGTATTGAAACCAGAAAATCTTTGGCTCTAAAACCTTTGCGCCGATCAATCACGTCTGTTCATCTTTTGCACACAAGCGCTCTACATTTGGAAGAACATCAAATCAGAATTACTGACTGAAGGATTACAACATATAATGAAAGGAAAACCATTCATAATTAGAAAAGAAAGATTTAACAAATATCTCAGTGTTGAGTGCAAAGTAGATATAACTTGCTTGATTTCGCTGTTTGAAATGGTGATTTTTAAAATTTTCAATAAATTTTCTGAAGCATGTGTGATTCATAAAAATTCATTAACAAATATCTTCAAAGAACTCACAGAAACACATGTTGAATTGTATCTTTAATTGGATATTATATGTGTAGTAGATGCATGTTCATATGTGTCGAGTCCCATCAACATCAAACTGTAGTTATTATAACAGGTTAAGAACATAAATATGATACAGTGCAGGAAATATAGTGAGAAGTCCATACTCAGGTACTCGTAAGTCAATATCATTGAGGTTCCCCAGGCCGACATGCTGAAAAACCGAGGACCCAGCCCCCTATAGAAACCTTTCCATCCTTCCTCAGCGATTAAGCTTTCAACAATTTGTCTTGCTGTCTTCCCTTTCTCATGTCCCATCACCTATGAACAATTGACAAACATAACCCATCAAAATATAAACTTTCGACGTAGGACCAGCAATAACTAACTAACTAGGTCAGATACAGCCATACAGGTGACTGAGTCAGAATGAGAAGCATTTCATGAAGGAAATTAATGTTAAAAAACAGGAAAGCTTAGAAATCTTGAACAGAAGCTTTCAGAACTTAAAGTCTTGACACAGTAGAAGATTTCTTCTGGAAGATGCTGCTTCCCCCTTCTAAAAAGTAAAGCACCAAACCCTACAGTATTTGTTGTTATGAAACTCACAGATTGGTGGCCACCTCCAAATTTTAGGGCCGGTAGAATCATATTATTAGTCTCATTACCAACCTTCATAAGACCTTATATAAGTTAAACATGTGAAGTCCAACATGTTAACTCACGACCTTTTAGTTAGAGATATATGTCTTGACCAATTGAGTTATGCTCAGGTCAGGTTGGTTGGCACATATGGACTTTGATGAATAGTGGCGTTGCATCTATAATTGGGCTACTCTTATTCGGGTGTGGTTTTATCCTAAAGCCAAATTCAAGGGCGGTTACTTCAAAAAAGGAGAGGTAGTTCACTAGGGGAAAAGAAAGGCTTTTACGCCTGGAGATTCCTTGTACTTGGCAGTTGGCACTCTTGAGGAAGAGTGTTCCAACACTTCCCTGCAGCATTATTGCTGCAGTAAAATAAGTTCAACACACAGTTTTAAATAATGCAATATACAGCATCTAAAGAATTCTCGAGATAGCGATATAGTTTGATAGCACAACGACAGTAGTAACAGAAAATAATGTTTGGCATCAAATAATATAATAAAAAATGTACATGAGAAGGATGGTTTGACATCAACTAGGGCAATAAGTACCTGTAAGCGAGTCTTTATAGTGTCCAATGGTGTTGTAATGCAGGAAGCTGTTGCACCTGCAATTATTCCACCCGCAGCTTGAACTGAAATAATTTTGGCATGGCTAGGAGCAAATTCCTCGGGAGCAGAGTTTTGGCCTACGAACCTTCAATGCCACAACATAAGTTTATAATTTCAAAGTCAGATAAGAGAAATCAGTTCAATGTTAAACAGAAAATACAGCCCGCATCATGCATTTGAGAAAGTATCAATAGTTCAGTCGGGACCCTCTGAAATCTAATATTAATACCTCTAAAATATAATTAGAAATAGAAAACCTCATGTCAGATAAATTTCTAACCAACTGCACGAGGACAACTCCTAGCTTATAACTTCCATATTCCATCCTTCTTCCAATAAAGACGCATACTTATATATGAATGAAGCTCAACAAATCCGTACAGAGATGCACATTTAAAATGCATGCACTCCAAGGAGGAGGAATAGTTCATAACACAGAAATCTATAAGAAAACTAGAACTAAGGTATATAATAAAGGACGCCATGTTCATGAAAAGTAGACAAAACTAAGATTGCATAATCTTATATCTATTTGATAAGTACTTAGCGGACCAAAATATTACCATTTACTATCAAGAGACTAATGATTTCTTTCATTCAGTGTCAAAGAAAGAGAAGATGACAATGCTATTGCTAACAACAGCTAGTTGACATGAATTGTTATGCAATGATCCAGAACTCAACACATAAACATAAATGGAGGGAAATTACCATGTCTCACCTCCAGATGATGCGTTGACTTGCACCATAACTTGCCCACCATACAGCACTAGATGGAGAGTAGGTCATAACAGATAACCCAAAACCTTTATACAATCCCCGGATTCCATCAGATTTTATTAGTTTACGAGCAACATCTAAACCCCCATTATATCTTGTGTGGCCTGAGTATCCTTGAACCATTAGCTTTTGACTAATCTGAGTGGAACAAAAACAACAAATATTTGCTTTTAAGTAAACAACAAATAAACAACAACCAAAACTTACCAAAAACTAGCAAAATCCTACATACCACGTCAATTGGAACAAAAACAGCTTGAGAAAAAAGTGATGCCGTCATGCCAGCTAATCCATTTGCTATTGCGGCCTGAACGGGTTCAGAGAATTTAAGTGGCTCAACCATTTTAAAGGCTCCCACTTTGGTTGTCTCCAAAGCGGTAAGAAAGATGATCCTTGCAGGAATTGCACCAGTGATTACTGTACCAAACCCTCTGTAAAGACCAGGAATCCCATCATTCTTCAGTAAGCCTTTGACAACAGAAAATGCATTTTTCTCGGCAGAGTCCTTAACAGCAACCTGCATCCTCGTTTTTACAACAGAAACAGGGTACAGTGCAACTGTAACCCCAGTAAAGAGACCTGCTCCTACGCCATAAAATTTTGCTTTATCAAGCCTGCAAGATGTACGGGCTTGATAAATAAAGAGTCATATAAGATATTGCAACCTTTTTGCAAAGCAAGGAATAAGAGTGGTCTCATGTCATAGATGGATAGACCATTTGATTAGTCTTCGAGAAAAGGAGAGGCAGAGTTTGAGGTAAGCTAATATCAACTTCAGTTTGAGTTACAGTCTCCGAAAACAAACACAATACTCAACTTAGTTAATGGAGTCTTTCTTTGCCTTTGGAGCCTATGAATCTGAGGTGCACGGAAGTAAATTATTTTTTGGTAACTGGGAGTTGGAGCTTTTCTCCCCCACACCCAGAAGCACCCGTGCATGCCCCAAGGCCCAGACTTGAGAGATATCAAGGGTTTTTGGTATTAAACTCACCAGAAGGTTCGAACCTGAAACCTCTAAGTCAATATTGACCAAGAGACCCCAACCCAAGCCCTTGCCAACTGGGTTGCCCCTTGGGGGCAGGTGCATGTGGGTAAATGTAAAATGAGCCTTTTAGTCCGAACATGTTTAGAAGTAATTTACTATTTTATTTACAAAACCTACCATCTGCTAATGCATAAATGTGACATATATCCATCCATAAAGCATTTATGCCAAAATAATGTGTAAATTATAGCGCACTGGATGTCGTGGGGCAAACAAAGATAGAGGGGCACAAATATTGCAAACAAAGATACAGATAAATCTCAAATTTCAGGCATGTCAAGCCACTCTGTTCTTTAAAAACAAAGGACTCGGAGTTCCAAAAGCACAAACACCACCGGAGACCAAAAAATAGCATCTAGTAGATTAGTACTGAACATACGGCTCAACTTATTCTCCATAACTTTCACAAACCAGGGTAAAGCACCAAATTGCGACTGAGTATTACAACGCTAACACAATCCTAAATCTCAAGTTCTATCTCTTAAACCCCGAGTTAGTTCTAGTTTGAAAAGAAGTTCCAATTATATCTTTATATTCTTTTCCCAAGTTCTACTTGTTGATGTCTTTTTCTCTCACACAACACACATTATACTCGACACAATAACAAAATTTCCATCCTCCCTCGATATTTCTTCTCTTTCATGTCATCAAAAACCAAAATAAAGCGCTCAATAACTCCTCGATCTATGCATACATCAAAGTCAAGCATAGGATGAATAACACAACAATAAACAACAAATCCAGAATGGTCAACTAAAGCTAGAGCGAGTCAACGAACTTTATCATTCAACACAAAAGCTGACAAATAATGAAACAATATGCAAATAAAGAAATACGAAACGGAACGAAAAATTTCCCAGAAAAGCAGAGGAAAAGAAAGGAAAGATGAACGCACTTGTCCCAGTTAATCTCGGTCTGACCAAAGGACTGAAATCGAGAACCATTCGCATTCATGGCCTCCCTTACCTGGATCGAACAAACAAGGTCGGCGAAGCAAAGCAGAGCACAATACAGAATTCAAGAATGCACCAACTCCAAGAAGTCAGGAAACTAATCGATTAGGCGCCGTTCCGACGGCGTGAATCTTGCTGGGCAGCAGCGCGAAGAAACAATAAGAAAAGGGAAGTGGGGGTTGGTGGGCTCTTCAGGTTTCGCACTGCATTTCTTGGAATTGCTTGGAGAGAGAACAATTCGGAGGGGGAAATGGTGGGGTTTTTATTTTATATGGTTTGATATTCTTTTCTTTTTCCCTTCCTCTTTGTTCGTCAAATAGAGGAGAAAATGGCGCTGGAAGAAGGCGGCCTTCGCACCAAAAACTAAAAAGGTTTGGCCTTTGCGGCGGTGGAATCGTCTGTGGCTGCCTTCTTGGTGTTCGTTTGGCTGCTTCCCAATCACGCGGCGCCTCGTCCCTCTCTTCACACGCTTGCTTCTTATAAGAATGATATTAAACATCCGTTGATATATCGAAAATTTGGATACATCGACACCATGAATAAATAGGTATTTTTATTATATTTAAAAAATGATAAAATATGAAAACATCAACAAAATTAGCTAATATATATGTAATATTGATATTAATTATTTTTAACTTATTTATAAATAAAAAATTATTTATTCGTTAATTTAAATATTTTTACATTGTTCTAACTTTTATAAAAATATCTATCAACATCAATATTTTATCGATATTTCCATATATATTTCCATGAAGTTAAGATCTTGACATTTTTATCGACATTTAAAATCTTGCTTATCACAAAACAATATGTTCACTTTTACATAAATTTTTTTTTATAAAGAATAATTATATCACAAATACAAACTCGACATTTGAAATTATGATACTTTTCAACCTAAATGTAGCATAGTTGTGAAAGTAATTCTTCTTTTTTTAGTAAATAAAAACTTAGATGTTTATCGAGTCGGTAGGTATCTTCTTGCTTATCAATATTAAAAAACTGACAACTATTTTTTAAACTAGTTTATCTCTCTTTCTTTATACATTAATCTCTTAATTATCAAATTTTTAATGGTGATCGATAAACACCTAAATTTTATTCTTAATTAGGGGCTATAAGTGAATCAATTACCTTGTATTATAGTTTTTAAGGGTGCAACTCGAAATCAAAAGACTAAACACAAAAAACAACAAATATCAACCCCATTCTATTTTATTACATATAAAATCTGTCAATTTAATTTGGATAGATCTTAATGATTTTGGTTAGTAGTTGGTCGATCTTTTAGTTGAACTATCAATTCAATTTTTTTATTATAATTTTAGAATCGTAAGTTTTTATATAGTTCTCTTTAAAAAATAAAAAAATGGACAGAATGGACAAAATGAAATAGATGCTTTGCAAGTTGCTAGATAAATGTCACATTCTTAGTGCAAAAAAATAGCCAACAAAGCTGACAAGCTTTAAATGATTAATGCCATAAACTGGTAAAAACATCTCATTTTAGGCTCATGCTCTGTACAGTCCAATAAAGGCTGCATTGTAAATAATATGATAAAGTAACTAGTTTGTATATATGCAGATGATATGCTATTCCCCATTAATGGTAATTAAACTAATAATATGAGATAATCAAATGTCGTGTTCTATCTCGTGGTCTCCCCTTATCACATTGTGTTCATACCAAGAGGAATCACAGAGCAACCTGGCAGCAAATGCAGCAGAATGAAGTTGAAGAAGAGCTTTTGGTTACTGATTTTATTTTGTTGCAGCAGCTTTAATTTCACAGGTTTATCAGGCTCTCTCTTCTTCCACTTTTTCATTTTCTGTCTTCTTCACTTCAGAATCTTGATGGGCTCTACTTGTTCTGAAGAGTATGTTTCATTTCCAGCATTTCAGTAATGATGAAGTCGTTGAATATCAAGCTCTCTCAGGCTCGAGTTCTTCGTCGAGGAAAGTTTTCGTTTACTGAACTTAATTAGAAGACAGTGAAATGCTGAAATTTAAGTAGGGAGAGGATTCTTTTTGGTTAACAACTTCCTTGTGCTATTTTATGACATATAATGCACTTTTGTTGAGCATTTTCTTCTTCACTTTCTGCAAATCAAAAGAGATTTTATGTTAGTTGATTCCCAAAAATGTTATGAAACAAAGTCGTCATTATCTGAATTAAGCTTACTTTGCAGAAGCCTATGATGCTCTTGATCCAACTGGAAACATCACTATCAAGTGGGATGTCATGACCTGGACCTCAGATGGCTACGTGGTAAGTTACATCAAAAGAGTAGATTCAAGGCTCCATGGCATTCCGAAAATCCATTCATGTTATGGGAAGTACATAAAATTTTCAAGATCACAAGTTTAGTTTAAGAGTTTGACCAATCAAATAACTTGGCACCATTGAATTTGAACATAAAAGATGAGATTCCTCCACACCAATCTGATGTTCCTTTTTTAATCAACAGGCCATTGTGAAAATCTACAATTTCCAGCAATATCGTCACATCCAAGCCCCGGGTTGGTCGCTGGGATGGATGTGGGCGAAAAAGGAAGTAATATGGAGCATGGTGGGAGGCCAAGCCATAGAGCAAGGAGATTGTTCAAGATAAAAATCAAACATCCCACATTGCTGCAAGAAAGATCCAACTGTGGTTGATCTTCTCCCAGCAACTCCTTACAACTCACAGGTTGAACTGCTGTAAAGGTGGAGTACTTAACTCTTGGGTCCAAGATCCTGGAAATGCACTAAGCTCATTTCAGCTAAGTGTTGGTTCATCTGGAGCTAGCAATAGGACTGTCAAAATGCCCAAGAACTTCATTTTGAAAGCACCAGAGCCCGGATATACCTGCGGACCTGCTACGGTTGTTGAACCAAGTACCTTTGTTTCAGCAGATAAGAGAAGGGTCACTCAAGCTTCGAGTAAGTGGTGACTACAAATCTATAACATAGTTTGATGGTCTCTGTGTGTGGAAGTACCTTCCATTTGATATTTTCTGAGGCTATATAGAAAGCTCAATAGCATGCCTATTCGTAACTACGATAAAAGAAAACCATTCAAACCATTGTTTTCAATGGTTCAGAAGACAGACTAGAGACTACAATAGTTCAGCAGTCAGTAGCTTGTACTCCAACTGAACGTCCATCTGAGTCCTAGAAACTAAACTGACTTAGTTTGTACCGAAAGTCCATACTAACAGAACATCATCACATAATGTTGCATCAGCAGAATAGGAAAATATATAAAAGTCTTAATCCATAATCAGATTAAATTCAAACAGTTAGAATAAGGTCATTTTGAAACTGACCTGTTTTACTTCTATGGCAGTGACATGGAATATTACGTGCACATATTCCCAATTTATGGCTCACAAGAACCCCAGTTGCTGTGTCTCATTGTCAATGTTTTCGAGGCGCACCCGGGCACTTGCCTCAGGCGAGAGGCGAAGCGTTTTCACCCAGGTGCGCCTCGCAAGGTGCCCAGGCGAGCGCCTTCCATTAGGCGCTCGCCTTTGGGTGCCTTGGCGCGCCTGTTGCCTGAGGCAAGGCGATCGCCTCCTTCAAGGGGGCGATCTGCCTTATTTATTTTTTTTTTAATTTTTTATGTGTTTTTTTTTTGTAAAACACCCTCCACTACGCGACCCAAACCCTATCTCTGCCTCCCCTCCCTATCGACATTCACCTTCACGGGCTTCAAGCCTTCACCACCATCAATCTTCGCTGCTGCTTGTCTTTATTTGGAACTAAACTTATCTTGTTGACATTTACTATTTTGGTATTAATTTTTTTAAGGTAATTTATGCACTATGTATATAATTTTTACTTATTTATTAAGGTGTGTCTCGCTTCAATCAGGCGTCGTCTTTGTATCGCCTCTCGCCTCAAGGCGATCAAAGGGCTTGTAGCCTTGCGGTGCGCCTTGTGCCTCGAAAACACTGCTCATGGTCATCCTTCTACAACGACAGCATCGCAACCTGCTCCAAATGTTCCTGCGGCTGCCGAAGCAGCATGGTTCAGACAGGAAGCTGCATTGAGTAATTCCATCAAACATTACAAGCACACTAAAAAATCAAACTAAGATTTGCAATGATGGACCTACATAAAAATTATACCTGGTGTTGATTTTACAGGGCAAATTCACATTACTTATCACCCGTTGTTTCAAACTCTGGTGAGAACTTTGAACCTCTGGTTCAATGTGCAAGCCATATGTGTCCAATCCGAATTCACTGGCACAATAAGCTCAACTACAAAGAGTACTGGAGAGTCAAGATCACCATTACAAACTTCAACTACAGAATGAACTATTCAGACTGGAACTTAGTCATTCAGCACCCCAACTTCAGCAATCTGACAAAGATATTTAGTTTCAACTACAAGTCTCTTGTCCCCTATGCAGCAATAAGTAAATTTCTCTGCTTGATTTCCCCTATGTTGCAATCATTCTCTAAACCCCATTTCCATATGAAATTTTAGTTACCAACCCCAACACCTAAACTAGCAAGAGAGAAGAGAGGAGTCATTTAACAGTGTTCTCATTCCTTACTCTCTATTTCTTGCTTACAGTTCATTAAAACCATGCATGTTGGCTAAGGATAAAAGAGTGTTCGCTAAAAAACACATTGGGTCTAGGCACTTTGATTGAATTAATGGTTTAATCCCTGCACCATAGTAAGTAACAATTTAGTCCTTGTAGTTCAAAATTTGTAATACTTTAGTCCTACCGTGTAAAATTCCATGAAGGTGAAATATCTTTGATATTTAATAATAAGTAACACCTTCACAAAAATCTTCACGGTAGAGATTAAATTATTACATACTAGATTGTTACATACTAGAGTTCATGAACTAAATCGTTACATATTTTAAACCAGTATGTTAATGAACTAAATCGTTACATATTTTAAACCAAGACTAAACCGTTACATACAAAAGTTCAAGGAATAAATAAAGTATTTTTGTTTGCCAATTGTTTGACCATTTTGTATTAATTTTGTTGTTATGCAAGGAAGAAATGCCCTAATCATGGTCAAAATTGATTCCCAACAGATGATACAGCCATGCTATGGGGAGTCAAGTTCTACAATAATCTGCTAACACAAGCGGGTCCTGTTGGAAACGTACAGACGGAGGTTATTTTTGGAAAGAATAAAGAAACCTTTACATTTGACGAAGGTTGGGGCTTCCCTCGAAGGGTGTACTTCAATGGCGATAATTGCGTCATGCCGCCTCCCGACGCCTAACCGCGGTTGCCGAACGCCGGCTCCGATCAGAAGATCTCCACTTTTGCCCTAATTTTAGCTTCTCTTCTAACCTTTACATAATAAAAACTGTTAGTTTGGATTATTATTGTCATTTTCTGAGTACAACAAGTTTGCATCTTTAAACCACGGGTGAAGTTATAAATTTAATACATAATTAAACTTCAAAAACTCAATTATATATATATTTTTAATTTTGAGAGGTAACTATAGCCATATAGTTTCTTTCCCTACACTCTTTTTTTCCTTTTTTTTATTTCCATTTTTTTACCAACATGTTGGTGAAAATTCAAACTTTCAACCTTATTGTTGGAAATAGATGTCTTAATCAGTTGAGTTATATTTAAATTGATTATAAGTCATTAATCTTTACTTTCTCACCCAATATAAAGAAATGAAGATCGTGATCTTAATCATAGTTTTCTAATACTTATATATTTAAAAAAATATATTATTATATTACGTCCTTTTTTTACTTAGTACTAAACTAATTGAATTATTTCAAACCTACTTAAAATTTAAACTTGTATATGTGTTTGTTTATTTTGTCAACTATTTTTTAAAAACAATTTTAAAATATAAGCTAAATAAGTAACTTCTAAAAATTAGTTTATATTTTTAAAATTGATCTAATAATTCACACGTGTCTTTTTTAAGAAACGATAAAAAGGAAACATAACAAACATAAAAGTTGACCTTTTCTTGTGTGGACAGAAGAAATAGTTGTGAGACAATAAAAAATGATTTTAAAAAAAATAATAGACATTCAAGTGAGAAAAGGTTGCGACATGGATAATATATAGATAAATGATATATTTTTAGTTTACATTAATATAATGCGACCGTTTCACATTTGAATAATTTCAGATTATATAATTAATTGCTTAACAAATATGTAACGATCGCTCTTTAATTCAAAACTTTGTTTGGTATGCCATTGAATGTGACCATTTCATTCAAATCACTGTAAAATATATAATAATGTTAAAAGTTAATAAAATAATACACACTAGTTTCTATTGACAAATTGATATATACATATATAATTTTAAAAAATATCAAATGGATTTTTTTATGAACACGAGTATAATCACCCGTTAAGATATCTTGCTCATTATTTTGATACTCTTCATATTTGTTATATTAAAAAATATATATTTTAAATTAATTAATACACATAATCTTGGTTAACCTAAACATAATTTAATAGATAAACCAATAATTATCCGGGCTAGTTGAAAAAAAAAATCATTTAAAAAATGATGCAAATGAGTGAAAGAGACATGAAAGGTTAAACCGTCTTTCCATGGAAGAAAAAGTGGGTGTTACTTAAATTTATAAAAGGAAGTTGGGGATAATAATTCATGAATTAATAATTCCCATTTCTAAATTCCAACCAACCAAAACCAAAAAAAAAATTGAACTTTCCATGTTCAAACCTGCCAAATTAAAAAACTTATGATAAATTATAAGAAATCTCATTTTTGATGCACAACAAACACACCACCTAACCCATAACCTTTGAATTATCTCTGTGTTGATAATCAAAGAATGGAGAAATCCCATCATTTACACAAGCTTGTGATAATCCAACTCCTAGTTTCAATATTCCTCTTCTCGGTAGCTGCACAAGAACCCTGTCCCAATGGACTCTGCAAGGTAATTTTGTTTTAAAAAAAAAAAAAAATTCAGCTTGTCGGTTTGAGTAACCTACTTTGAGGTTTCAAGTTCGAGTCTTGTGGTCACAACAATGTTGTTCAGCCTCCCAAGGAGTTTAGGTTATAAGAATCCACTGGCATAAACTACACGTTGCAGGACGTCGATTATGGGAAATCGAAATTTTTTGTTTTGAAATCTTCTCTCTGACCTATAGATTGATGCATCAGTTGATGATGATGATAAGTTTTTTTTTTTTTTTCTTTGTTGGTTTTAATATATAGGTGGGGGAGGAGTGCTCTTCTAGTGGAGACTGTGGAGATGGGCTGTATTGTTCCTCCTGCCCAACAAGTTTTTTTGGGTCAAGATGTGTTAGATCCACCTACACAAATCAGTTCAAACTTGTGGTATGTCAAATTATATATATACCCCTTATCATGCATGTGGTTGGATTTGCATTCTTTTTGGTAGCTATGTATAAACTGAAACTCTCCCTGCCTCTTTTGCTTCTTTGTGCAAATTGGTAAGAAGATTTGTGGCGACCTCAGGTGGGAAATTTCCATTAGAAGTAGGGTTGAAAATAGGAGGAACTTAAAAGAACAATATTTAGGTACTTACTGATCAGCCTCCATCATCTTTTGCCGACCATCATTAAAATTTTGACATGTAAGAAGAGGGAAACGTTTTATGGTTTAAAAAAAAAAAGATTGCTGACCAATAAACATCTAAGTATTTCTCTAATCCCAATCTTGATTCTCGAACTTGGGAAATGGGGTACAAGTTGTTTTTATTTTTGTGGGAAAAAAGTAAATACAAGAAAACACACGAATTTTATGTATAAATTAACTCTAACGGGATAAAAAAGTACGATTGGAAGAAAAACAATCTACTATATAATCTTAATATCAACAGTACTATATTTGAAAATTTTATATATCTGTTTAATGATGCAGAATAATTCATTGCCATTCAACAAATATGCATATCTAACGACCCACAATTCATTTGCCATCGAAGGAGAGCCATCTCACATAGGAATTCCTCGTGTGACCTTCAACAATCAAGAAGACACTGTCTCCCAACAGCTGAATGTATGTAATGTTCCATATAATAACTTAATTAATTAAGGCAAATTAACATCTCCACCACTATTTTTTTTTTCCTTTTTCTTTTGAAGTTCTGATATTTTTATTTTCTACACATATTTTACAGAATGGAGTTAGAGCTTTGATGTTGGACACCTATGATTTTGATGGAGATGTTTGGCTCTGCCATTCCTTTGGAGGAAAATGCCACAACTACACTGCATTTGTATGTTCAATTTAACCCCAATTATCTCACTAAAATTTTATCTCCAGTATTCGAGAGACTCAACAATATTTTTCACAATAGGGACTAAATTATTATAAACTTTAAACATGTATTAAAGTTCGTATCTTTACCGCTGATACAGTTGATTTTCAATTGTTATAGGAACCAGCAATAGACACATTGAAGGAAGTAGAGGCCTTTCTAACAGCAAATACTGCAGAGATTGTGACACTGATCTTAGAAGACTATGTTCAATCTCCCAATGGATTGACCAAGGTATTCACCGATGCGGGGTTGAAGAAGTTCTGGTTTCCAATCACGAACATGCCGAAGAATGGCAGCGACTGGCCTCGAGTCAGCGACATGGTGGCCAATAACCAAAGGCTTCTGGTCTTCACATCAAATAGAACAAAGGAAGCAACAGAAGGAATAGCATACCAATGGAATTACATGGTCGAAAACCAATGTAAGCTAAATAAGAGTGCGTTTGACATGCCTTTTAAAGTGCTTAAGGGATGACGAAAACAGTAATAATTTGCAGATGGGAATGATGGGATGAAAGAGGGGAGTTGTGCAAACAGGGGAGAATCATCAGCACTTGATGACAAGGGAAAATCACTGATATTGATGAACTATTTTCCAACAGTTCCAATCAAGCAATTGGCATGTCAACATAATTCTAAGGATCTGTTTGCCATGCTTCTAACTTGTCATCAGGCAGCTGCTAACAGATGGCCTAACTTTCTGGCTGTTGATTTCTACAAGGTAATTTGTTTTCTGCTTTCAAAAACAAAAACAAAAACAAAAAACTTTTGTTTCTGTTCTTTCTATTATTAAAACTGATCATTTATGCAGAGGAGTGATGGAGGAGGAGCATTTCAAGCTTTGGATGCTTCCAATGGGGGGCTCTTGTGTAACTCTGAGGACATTCATTCATGTGTCGGGTAAAGATGGTAAGAAACTCGAGAGTTTCAAATTTATCAGCTAAAAGTTGATGTCTTTAGCTTTTGAAGTATATTGAAACGAATAATTTTAAAATTTTACAAAAATAGAATAATTCAAAAGTCAGTGTCATTGTATGCATAAATAAAGTGATTAAATATAATGTAAAACGCTCATTATAAAGTCAACCCTATGCTATATTTGAAAAAAAAAATTAAAACGAGGAATATTTTTTTGAAATTCCTACTAATTTTATGCTGCGGAGTGAAATTTCTCTATTTTTTTTAATTGCCAAAAGCAACATTGGGAAATTAAAGAAATTAAAGAAATTAAAAAAAATTAAAAAATTAGTTTAAATGAGATGTATGACATTCTTTTACTTAAATGGATATTAATTTTCAAAAACAAAAAAAAAGGATATTAATGGGCTTTGGACATGTGGGCCAGTCTTAGCCCACTAATATTTGCACTTATCAAACCAATATGATTAAGCATTGGGCTTTTTTACTTCAAACTCCTCCACAAAAGGCAAGACGTGCGGAGGATATCTTTTAGAATCCATTTTTTAAAAAATTGGTTAGAAACAGGTTATTTATTGTATTTTTAATTTTCTAACCACATGTTTAAGATTTTATATAGTTTTCACATATATATTGATTTGAGAGATTTAAGATAAGATTTCAAAAGGTATTTCTAGAAAGGAAAAAAAAAAAGAGAGTAATATTTCCACTAAATAAACTTACTTTTTAAAAATAGAAGATTAGAATCGAACTTTGTTGGTTGTTTGAGTATTGACTACTTTATTTCTCTTAGATGTGAGAATTTGCTTTCTTTTTTAGTACATTAGATGTGGGTATTTTTTAAATTATGGAAAAAGTGTAGATGTCAATTATGCCTATTAAATTTTTTAAAAAAAAACATATTAAATTTCACGCAACGATAGCCATATTTATTACAAAATCTGGCACCCATTATAGTTGTAATTTAGAAAATTTCTTATCATATTTAAAACTAAAACTTTTTCTATGATAGTTTGGCGAAGTACACCTCTTACAAAGAGTGATGAAGAAAACACATCTTAAAAAATAATTGCAAAAGTAACCCTTTTTCAAAAAAAGACTGGTTAATCACTAATAGTTATGAATTTATTTTTCAGTTAATTTATATAATTTTGTTTTAGTACAATAATTGGGGGCGGGAGATTCAAACTCATATTCTTTCCGTCAGGCTGAGCTATGTTCATGTTGACATCTAATTTATATAATTGATTATTGATTTGAATTGAATCATCACCACTAAAACAATGATTCAATTATTTTAACCTTCATGATTCACATTTCAAAATTTCTCATCTCGAGCCTTGCTCTTTTTCTTCTTTTAAAAAATAAAATTTCTAAAGAAATAAATTATAAAAGCAATAGTTATAATGTTTGCTTTGTGTGTCAAAAGTAGGCTACAATTACAAATCAAATTTATTATTTAAAACAAAAATGGAAAAGTGAAGCAAATAAAATAAAGAAAAATGTTCCTGAAAATCCTCTTATTGAGTTTTTGCATTTGCTGCGGTGGCAATGGGCACAGAATTGTCTGATCTTCAACCCCACAAATCAACACTAAAACGCCTTCTATTCTATATACTATGTAATTAGTTTAATTATTAATCTCTTTGTTTTTTTCCCCTTTTTAAATTATGGAGAATTATTATCAAATGTGTCGAGCGTAGTTTAATTGATCAAAATATTACGTTAATTCTTCTTACATGTTAAAAATATACTGTTACATCTAATCACGATAAAATTAATAAAAAGATATCACATCAATCTTTTGTTTCTATTACATATCGAAAACTCAAAGATGGAAAACTATATATTTTGAAGCATTTCGAAATCTCAAAAGTTAAAAGCGCATCAATTTTAGAAAATTATATACTTAAAAGAATTGTTTGTAAAATTTATAGTAAAAAAATATTTATCCAGAGGTCGTTAATCAAGATTCTAAGTCGAATTTTTGAGTTTAATAATAATTTAATATGATATAAGTAGATCAAGATTCTAGTTCAAAATTTATTCTTCTCTATCTCTAGTATTTATTATTTATAATAGTTATATTATATTTCACCTCAATAGTTCACGTATCGAAATAATAATGGATTTATTTTATTTTTCTTAATATATATGTTACCTAAATATATATTTTAAAGTTAGTAAGACCTTTTTCTCCCCCTTTAGAAAACATCTTTGATTGGTGAAGATTAATTTAGGGTCAATCATTACTAATGACAGGATCAAACAGATAGATTAAAAGCTTTATGAATATATATATATATTTCTCTTTGTGACATAATATTTTCAAAACAAAATTACAATATAGGCATAATCATTTTTAGGAGTTTAGAGATCTGAAATTCATAATATTGTGATACCCTTTGTTTTTACAAAATTGAAAACTTTGATATATCTCAACATTTTAAATTAAATTAAATTAGAGTCATGGTGATGTCACCCAAATGGATAATTAATGATTAATTTACATCAACTCCAAGATGATTAGAAACTCAAGAAGGAAAAACAAACATTCAGTCAAAATATGCATTGGGTTTTCAACCTATAGATTTGTGAAATTAATTCTTTAGTATTATCAACATACTTTCTCTCACTAAATGCATTTTATAATAAAGTATACATTAAATTAATTAATTATAAAACAAAGTGATGATCTGATTAGTGAGAAGCACATGTGAGAGTAGGTAGGTTTAGAGGTATCTAACACATGCTACCAATTTTAAGAACAACAATAATAAACAAAAATAAGAGATCATAGAGAATTATATTAAAGATATATAATATAAGATCTACAGTATCACTAAAACCTACTAATACTTTCACTAGTAACATGCTTTGAAGATGTTGCTTTGCTCAATAAAATTTTAATGGGCTCCATGTTATTGGGTGCACCATACATTATTTTATCCTCATATAATTATTTTTGTATACAATTTAGAGAGATAGAGAGGGATTATTATTTTATGGTTGACTTAAATTTGGTGTGACTTTGTCTTTTTAGTAATCAACAAATTATAACAAAGATTGCTTAATTAAAGAATAATAGGTACTATTTCTCAAAAAAATAAAAATAATAATAATAATTAGAGGTACTAAGTACTAACCAATGAGAGCTAACCCCGAGAGCATCTAAAACAATTTTATAATGATTTTGTTTTTCACTTTTTCTACTTATTGATTTGTTTTTCTAAATTACTTTTTAGAATTTCGATTAAATTTTATGAAAGAATGGTCCATATGATAATAATTTTATTTTTATTTTCTGGTTTTGAGAATCATATTGTATGCGACAATGATTTTCGTTCTCTTCTAACTCACTTTGAAAAGACACTTCAATATCATACTAATTTAAAAAAAAAATATTTTTTTTTTCCTTGAACCAACGAATCCTAACATATCTAAATTTCTTATAACTTTTGCATTATTTCAAAAATCGATGCAGAAAAATGTTATTCGTTAAGTCATCATGGATTGACTCATTGGTCCAAACTAAGTAAATCAAAAGAATTTAGAGGGAATGAATTCAAATTCCATGATGGCCACCTATTTAAGAATTAATTTCGTATCTTAGTTGTCTGGTGAAATATATGTGTATAAATTGACCTGGAAATTTACGGATATCAAAAAAATATATATAATATTTATTAAAAACCCCAAAGTAATATGAAATAATTGTTTATGGAACCTTGAATTTTTTTCTATAGATAAATGGCTCCCACTTCATTCTTTATTTTTCATTTTTTGAAGAAGGCTCCCACTTGTGAAAGATTTGAGATCCCATGCACGATAATATATATGGATAATTTGGCGACAGAAAGCATATAAATTTCCAGCACATACACCACGTAAAATAAGAGATCAAAAAGCATAATTATATGAAGTGAAAAAAAAAAAAGAAAAAAAAAAGTCAACCCCTTCTTCATTTTCATTCACAAAATCATATATTTAAAACATAAGGTTGATTGGGATTCTCCAATATCCATTAAATTTTCTTTAAACTTTGCAAAACAATTTTAATATTTTTCACTCATAATAATTTTCAAACGATTATGACTCAAAATAGTCATGTTTTTGGCATCACCTTCTTTCACACGCAACATCTTACCCCATCAACTTGAAAAAAAAATGACACATCAGATCAGACAACGTGAATGGAAGAAAACAAACTAATTAAATTTTGTAACTACGTTACATATAACCCTCGATTGGTAGATGTGAAAGGACGAGGGAGTGGGAGTGAGGTTTGGGGGATTATTGTGAAGAATTGAAAGGTCATGTGTTTGAGACGGATACGTACAAGGAGAAAGGGGTTGGTTATCGGGGGCTATTGAAATCGTAGGGAGGCGGGATTCGGGTACACCCACGAGGGAAGTAACATGCAGATGGGGAAAGGGCATGATTTTGCATTGTTGTTTGTATGGGACAGCCCCACAAGAGAAAAGGGCTAAGTTTTGATCCTAATGCAATGAGGCCAAGGCAGACACCAGATCACATGGGGTTTTGGTTTTGGTACCCTCTTTACAACATAAAAGGGTTTTTATAATTAAATGAGGGATTTTTTTTAGTTAATAAAACTCCAAACTGTAGGAATATGGAGAGAAAGCAAACAACAGCAAAGACAAGGCAGTGGAGTTGGAGTTGGAGGGATCAAACAAAATGCAAATGGGGGACCTTTCACACATGGGGGAGGGAGGGCTACTTCACCCCCTTGTGGAGCCAAACCTTCCTAATTTCAAAACTTTTCCTTTCTTTCTTTTTGCCTTGGAGGGAATCTTTTCTTTTCTTTTTGCAAATGAAATCAATGGTTGGTTCGAACCATGCATTATATGGTTGGAACAAACGGTATTCGACCCATCTACCCGACCCGATCCGCAATCCAATACGACCCGTTATGTGTTTCACCCGTTAAAAGAGGATAATCTATTCTTTAATGGGTTGTGTTCTGTTTTTTCAGATCTTAAAATCTAATTGACTTAATTAGGGAGGTGAATCATGACTATTCAAATCGTTATCGGATAATCCAAGACGCCGCCTGTCGTAATTACTCCATGCAGCCACATGGGTTGGGGTTAAAGAAGACCGATCAAGTAAAGGTCGAGGTACACCGGTTCTAGGACCG